CTGTCTTTGCGGTCTTATCGCCATGGATTTTTGAGCAGCTTAGCTTAGCAGTTACGCCAAATATTTCCTGAATTTCAAAAATTTTTTTCCTGACGTTTTCACAGAGCGCTGGTAACTGTTATGTAGAACAATCCTTTGGCTACATTGCACTTATTTTAGATAACATCGATCGCGTTACCAAGTCCGTTATAATTATTTATTTAATAAAAACCGCGGCTTTTTGATAAGGTTTACCGCGTGAAAGTACCGAAAATCCCAATAAGCTGCTTTTTCAAAGCAAATCAAACTTGGTTATGTTGCATAAATAATGTTTAATAAGAATCATGTTTCAATTCACAGAAATTTTAAAAGCTTTCGTGTATTTGCTGCAGTTGCGTGTTTCACGACTTTGCCAAAAATAGAGACCTCCGAAAAAAGAATATTTTAAGGCTAAAAACAGCAGACTAGGAAAATATGAAAACAGCACCTTGTAGCCCGAGAATTGCTCTGTCTGATCTATGCTTAACCTTTCCCGGAACTTTGGAATGAAATTTTTGAAAATTAGCCTAACTTTGAACAGATAAAATTGACGGATGGAGAATTTTGGCAATTATCAAAAAATCATACAAGATTATGGATCGAAAATGTATCCTTAAGAAAGGGAATTAAAAGCTGCATCTGATGCATGTTGATCGTTCAGGTCTTTACTGTGCGTGGCTTTATAGTAGCTTGAAAAAACGGACAAAACTTCCGGGACAACCTAATATTATTGTACTCACTATAATGGTATCCTAAAAAATGTGCCTCCTGTTCATCATTGATAACTCATTGTCATGACATTTTTCGAAAAGATTTCGGAACAGTTCTGTAGAGCTGGTTTCAACTTAGAATGACAGCTTGGAGTGAATTACCGTTATTTCGTCGTTACTGTAAGATTACGGTAGGAACTCACAGCATATGGCGTCACTGTGTAACAGCCGTTCGAAAAAAATTCAAAAAATCTGAAATTTGTGTAATAAGGTTTTACACATGCTGATTTCATTACATAACTTTTTGCATGTTCGCAGAGCTTTTTGACCTGCTTAATCGAACTTTTGACGAATGACAGAAGTCGGTCACTACGTTTATCCGGCATAACTAATGATAAAAGCGTAAGGGTGAAGTGTTATGTTGGTCTCAGTAAGTCTCATAGTTGAAATCACCAAGCCTAATTAACCTAGTGTAAGAACTTTCAGCTTTTTAGTCCTTCTCTAGGGATAAAACTTGACCCTCAACAATGAAAAACTCCCTTCAAAGTTCCTAACGTAATCCTACAGTAATGAAGACGGTAAACTCGCTCTATACTGTGAATCTAGCTTAAAGCCAGCTTTACAAAGTGGCACCTAAACCTTCTCGAAAGACTCGATGGCAAGAGAGTTATTAACAATCAAACAGTAGGCACATTTTTTAAGGACACCCTGTATATAGAGCACGGTACTTCTCAAAATTTTTGCGGGCTCCGAGGGAGGGGACGGGGGGGGGGTCACCCCTATCCGAGAATGAGTCGCGAAATTTTTGAAATTTTTTGAAATTTATCTATATGGGTTATAAAAATGTGCAAGTGACGTCTATTCTAGTAAAACATGTAAAATAGTTCCGAAATTTTTAATTGACGTTGTAAAAATTGTCTTCGGAATGCGTGGCTGACGTTACGCTTTTTCATTCGATAAAAAAAATTTGCCCCCCCCCCCCGGACGGAAATCCTGGGATAGCCACTTATAGAGCGCTAATCCTTCTTTGCCCACATTAGGAATCCTACTTCAGATAACCACTAAGCTATCCTACTTCAGATAACCACCAAACTATGTTGGAAATCACCAAAATCTTTTTTGTCCCATTTTTTCCTTTCAGCAACTATTGCTCAGATTAGAAAAGACGAATCAGGCACACACCACCGCGAAAGCTACAAAATTCAAGTTATGTTGCTGCCTTTCTTCGCATCGGACATAATAGCGCCATTTCTCATGAACATATAAACTGAAAAAGGGCTATCACTTGAGAAACTATCCCTTATGAAATTTCTACTACAAAGAGAAGAAGGTTTTGAGCGCTTTCTCAAAAAACCACAAAGGTCGAATGCTTTGTAAATCAATGAAGTGTGGCACAACTTCAAAAAAGGTGTGGCAGCTACATCACTTCTGACTTTGTCTCACACCCCGTCTTGTCACAAAGAATTTTAGTGAAAATATATACATAGTTATTAGCCTAAATCTCGTAGTTTTCACAGCAATGATTTGAGCCTTCTTCGTCTTTATTTTTTGTTCTGTGCGATAATTCCGAAAGCACAACCGCTGAAAGAGAAATATAAGACAGACGAGATTTTAGCTGACTTCAAATTCCACTGTTTGGTTGTTATTTATGTGGGGGTCCTAATGGGAGTATAGGGAGTAGTGCTTTGTATTGAACGCAAAAAGAGTGCACTTCTGAAACATGTCAATCATACTTGAAAACGATCATTTCACATAGTTGGCTCTATACTTGGAAATATTAGAGTTTGTTAAACCTTGTCCACAGCGGCTATTCGACGAGCATTGTACTCATTGCTTTGTAGGGAATCTGCATTGTGCATAGGTAGGCAAACGGAATGCTGGAGGTTTAAGACAGAACTTTGGGGGGGGGGGGGGGAGGAGAAAGGTGTCCAGGGTCGTCTGCCACACTCTTGCCCGATTCTGCTCAAAACATTGTCTTTTCACTGAAACAATTCATAGTAGGCTATTTTCTGAAGTATTTCATCAGAAAAACTGTTTACAGTCGCACACATTTATAGTGTGGACCCCGGGCAGCTTCCCATAGGTACCTGCGCGACGCACCCGCAACGCACGCCTTCAGTGCGTCTCCTGTGCTACCTTCTGATGGAAATCCTCCTTTCTCTCCTTTTTTTTGTTTTTGGTGTACTGTATTCTCTCTATTTTAGGTTTTAACAATTCGCGATGACCGGTGACGAGATTTCACGTGCTCTAATAGATCTAAGAGCTTCAGTCTTGTGTAATAGTCTTGTGTTTTACCTTTTCTATGAAAAATTGAGATTTGATTGGATATTAAGATAATATTCTTTCAAAAGCTCTTCTTGTATAAAATAAGAGTCCCTTTAGGTTTGATGTGTAAGGTATAGTGTCTCAAGTCAAAATTGAGCCTTCCGAGAAGCCAGTAGGCATTTTTTTACTGAAATGTCCACTTTTTTGAAATCGTTGACTACACTAGTTTCTAAGTCTACGAAGAGAAATGCTTTGAGAATGCCGTTATTCTTTAATTTCTTTACGCGTATACTTATTACAACCTATCCATCAGTATAAGTTCGGAATGCATCCATTGATTGAATTTGAGGTACTCATGGAGGTTGCCTGCGTTTCGATCTTGCATACGTCTCTTTCGAAGTGAACCTAGGGGTTTCCACTTTGCATTTTTCTCCTTTGTGAGCATAAATGTGCTCTACTGCTCATGAGTGAGGCAGGAGGCATTGAGAAAGGCGCGCGCTGCGTGCGCGCTGCGGGAGTACCTATGGGAACCTGGCCGGGGTCCACACTATACAAAGATGTAGATACACTATACGGTAGGTTTCAGCCTAGTGTATGCAAATGTACTGTAGGGCGTCTGTACAGTCTGTCCCAATCCCAACTAGGCCAAAATTGGCACGGCGGGAGTCCGCGTCGCTGTTTCGCGGTCATGCCCACGGCCTGCTTCTCTGCTCTCTCTGCAATCCTTTTGCTCTCTCCGACAGCGCATACGCAGCGCAAACCGCTAGCCAGAGCCCGGCACAGATGGTTCGGGCTCAAACTGGACTTCGTGAGGTTAGAAGCAACGGAGATATCGTTTTTATAGGGTCTTGGGCGAAGCACCGAAAAAGAAGCGACAAACATGTCAGGTTTTACGAATTGAACGTGCTTTGGCAGCGCGGATTTCAAACGTAAGACCCAAACAAACAGATGGCTTGCTTACAACGCACAAACAATCACATGGCGTCGAATTTGGGGTGTGCATATATAATATATTGCTCCAAACAACATTATGTAAAAAGTTTCAAAAACTTATGTATCCTAATACCCGTTCCCGAACTTGTTGGTTTCTAAACCAACACCAAACCAACTGGGGAATCAAACCACTGCTTCTCCTCTTTTTTGAGCCAAAAATTGTGTAAATTAAAGCATTGATAAATATCGCGCTCTAACAACATGCGGTGTCCTTTAAACTACGTGGCGAAAAATGCATCGCCGATTGTTGAGGTCACGGTTTGGTTGGGCTGAGAGGTTTCCAACGTTACGAACACTAAAAAGGTACCATACTCAATAACTGAATTGACTCGGAATGTTTTTTTGCTTTTTACCTCAAAACTCGCTTTTTTCGTTTTTTGATCGTTATGTTTTGTTATGTTGATTGAACAGTAATTTCCCTACTGACTTTTACAACAAAAGGGACTTCGTAAATTCTAAGGAATTTATAAGGGGCTCGTTTCCAAAAATGCTCCAAACCAACGCGTGCCGGGCCCTGGTCTCGATTGAAGCAGACTGTAACGGTCCACGCTGTTTCGTAGCTACAGTATACCAAGTCGTGCTAAGGGACGTTCAGACCTCGCCGGTACCCATCCAAACCCGCCTGAATACGTCCGGATCCGCCCGAATACGTCGGAACCCGCCTAAACGCCGGAACTGCCAAAGCGAAGCAGATATGCGTCGAGCTACGTGTGACTAATGAGATAGATACATGCACCACGCGTGCTCCAATATGCCAATTTTTTACGCATATCTGCTGCGCTTTGGCAGTTCCGGCGTCCAGCAGGTTTGGGCTGAATCGGACGTATTTGGGCGGGTTTGGGCGGATCCGAACGTATTCGGGCGGGTTTGGACGGGCACCGGCGCGGTTTGACGATCCCTAAATCATGTTTGCGCCTTCCATTTTCCTCAGTTTTTGCTTGGCATGATGCCAGCGCCATGCGCGAAGTGAAATGTTTCGTCTACTCCGGGCTAAAGCAAGCTGCATATACTTACCTAATTTCAAGGAGCTGTTCAATATGGTAAATAAAGTACAAAGTGGCACCGATAGCAGCAATAAATGCCACATTCTGTTTTTCTCATAGAATTTGAAACAGCATGTGGCCACAAGCCTCTCCAAGAGGCAACACAGCTGCAGTGGCGCTATCATGCTGTAGGTATACAGATTGATGTACGACGATATGATAGCGATGATATGTTGCTCGAGGTTGAGTGCTTGAAACATCCTCAAAATGAGTAAAAATATATCACATAAAGCGTACATGGCTATGGATGCCGCAAATAAGATCCTGCAATAAAGGGAATGACATCGGGTTTTACTTCAACTTTTTGACAATAGGATTTTGTAGAAAATTTGTGTAAAATAGCTTGAATGGATTGACAAATTTTCTTGCTAGAAATGTATATATGTCTACTCTTTTTCTGGAAAATGAAGAGGAACATAGAACGCTTTTATCACTCTTTACGAGTACAAAACGCACCATTTTTTTATGGAAGCTCGAACACGCTAAGGGATTTGATCGGGCTGCAGCCAGCGTCCGGCACAGATCGTTTGAGAGGAGGCTGGACTTTGTTTTCGGAGGGAGAAAGCAGAGGGATATCCTTTTTGTGGATCCGTTGAAACACAAGTTAGTTTAGGTTTTTCAGTCGAAGTCTCCGGGAAGGGTCAAAAGGGACTACATAAAATTTTTCAAAAGTCAGGGGGACCTCGTTTTCAAAAAGCCTAGAAACGGACTTATGCCGGGCCCTGGCTGCAGCTTACTTACCAGTATTGTGCAATGGGAGCGACATTCCGCGAAGCACAGCGAAGCGATCGAGTCGCTAGCATTTAATGGTGCAAAAAGTGGCTTTGACTCATGGAGTTAGGGCAGTTATAAAATCCAGAAACCATGCATAATTTTGCATTTCCCGAGATGCTCTAGCGTCTTTACTTCAGCGTCATCTTGCCTGTGCTCCCGAGGTAATTGCTATTATCCGATATTTGTGTACAATCGCAGCGATAAGAATGCCTTGCGTTTTATAGAAATCATGAAAAACTTACGTAAAGAATGGATGGAACTTATTTCTGTTGCGGATCTGAACATACAGCGTCATACAGAATACTACAACGACAGATAAATAGATGAAAGAGGTGCAACTCTCGACTATAATACCCCAAGCAGCTGAGCAGTCACTGCTCTTTAACGTAGCGTCCATGTTCGAAACTGTAATTATACGACGAACGATGAAAGCTGACTGGCTTTAAGCATGTGGTTGAAGAATACAGACGTCAAGATAGCGTGAGTACGGAGGAATTTTGCTTTCGTGACTTAATTATTAGATTGTGTAATAAGTACTTACGCTTTTTTCTAGAACAGATTTTCTACAAATTTTCTCTGCCTCCTACACGGTATTTACATTTACTCTGAAGTGCTTTCTGTCTCATAAATCGCCTGGCGTTTGAAATAACGTATAACAGAACACTTTATCGTTTATGTCTGAGGCCATCGGTTGGAATGCGTGAGAATTTGGACGATCAAAAGACAGTTCAAAGTCATTTAAGGGATGGACTGTGCCTGAAAACCTTATCTTCGTGAATGCTGCTAAGGAAGAGACAGACGCAAGTTGAGTGGAAAGAACGAGGAACCCGTCGCGTAAAGATCTTGCTTGTCGACTTTTGCGTAAATGGCATTGAGCAGATGGCAAATGGGCGGGAGCGGGTTACTCAAAACAACGACAATAACTGCACAATTGATGCTCGTAATTTTGTCCGTCGTTAAGTTTTTCCAGAAAATCCCCGCAAAAACTCGAAAATGGGAGTAATGGTAGATACAGTCTTTGTTAATATGCGTATGCACGTATAGTCGTCCTCACCCCACTAGTCGGTTGGTGGACGAATTCGAATTTGAACTGGAGCAGGCAGGTCGCGGCAGAGCACGGCACCTTAGCTCTCCGTTCAAATTCATGCATTCACTTTGCGTATTTCTTCGCCATTGCTTAGCAGTTTTTGTATTGTTACAACGTTTTTGATCTATACTGAGTTTTTGTAATTGCTGAGCGTTGTCTCCTGCCACGCTTGACAGGCCTGCTTCAATTCAAATTTGAATCCATCCACCGACCGACTAATGGGGTGAGGGCGACTATACCGCACTCGTTGAGCGTGCTATCTTTGACTTAGTTGGCCGTTTTACATACATGTTGGAAGAAATACCCACTGAATGCTACTATCAATGCTTGAAAAATATGACAAAATGAAGGAAGAAATGCTGGGAAAAGAGGAGGCGTTTGCTATATGTGACTGTCTATTAGAAATACTGAAATGCGATAATCGCAGTAGCCAGCGCCAGTGGCAGCATCGAAGCAGGGAGCGTATGGTGGACAGTTATACAATTAAACAACAAACTTTGGGGTAGCTACATAGCTGCTCTAATTGGATCTCATCCGGAGCGAATCCGGATTGAACTCAGATTAAATCCAGCAGTCGGGATACCAGCGCGAATGCCTTATAATTTCTATAGATAAGGTCCCCCCTCCCCCCCCCCACGCCCTCATAAAACACTTCCAGATCCGAGTGGAGTTCTTCTGTGCGGCCGTATAAGGTTACTTCATTATGATAAGTACGAAGTAAACGATTATGACTGGAGCATCATAAATCCTATCGTCCTCACTTTTTTCACTGTTCATTTTGTGGGCCGCATTTTGTGGACTTTGAGGTATACAACGATTTGCAGCGACATAATTCTTTAACACGATTGCCTTCTTGTCTGACGACTATTATTCGTTTTGTGGCGAAACGTACACTTGAACTGATGCGGAGAAGTGGGAAATTGCCTATTAAACGTTGGAAAACTAAGCACTGCGTCCCCTGCTGCAATTCACGATAGCGGCGTGCAATGCTCTTGTGAAAGTAAGTGGAACACCTCTGGAAAAACATGGAACAGAAAGAAATGCATTCTCTTTTATGAAATTTTAGAAGGAACGCGCAAAATGTCTCGGCGCCGCCCATTTCGGGTGAAAATAACTAGACTTCAACCATTATGGCATTACGAACTCAACATCAATTCGATGCACACCAGTTCAGAAGTATAATATACTGGGACAGAAAGCAAAGCACGAAGATGATGTGCAACTGATCTACTGAAATGCGACGAGATCTTAAGGAAAAGTGTAGTCACAGGTTTTTACTTTTTTATATGAGGATAATCCTTTCTAGGTTCTTGGGATGGATACAAAAGATGGATACATTATGGATACAAAAGCTATAAAGTGAGATTAATAATTCAAAAAAGGTGCGTTTAAATGGATGGAAATTGTTTCGAAAATATAACACATGAAGTTGTTCATGACGCATTCGAACATCTTAGGAGTTTTTGAAGAAGATAGCGGCAACATCAAGACAACAGTGATTGCTTTTCCTTCGATCGAATCAGGGCTTCGAGCTGTTTCCCTGTTTGGACTTGGCTGAGCAGGAAGGCTCGGTGTCGTGGCCTAGCTATCCAGTGGTTTTTGGACACTTTCTATATGAAAAGTTTTTGACCCTACACCTTGTTTATATGCGCTTCACAGACCTCTACTCTTTCGATTGTTTCGTTTTCATAGTTCTTTTTCAGTTGCATGGCTGTGTCATTAGCGGTTCCAAATTTACAGACTTGGACTTCTGTCTGAATTTTACAGGATATCCTTATAGGGGCACTGTGACCGGTATTATAAAAAATCAGGGTGTCTCTTCCTACGAAAGCTGTTGAACGAGGTGACGATAGATCGCTACTATGATCTGCAGAAGTTTCAGCATTGATCTGATCAGTGCATCTCCGCAAGTCATTTTGAGGATATATAGCATACGATATCCTCTCTACTGTGGAAAGTACGCTTGGCGCATACTAGTGATAACCTAACTTCATCTTTTATTTTTGCTTGTATGCATAGTGGCGGTCCCAGGATTTCGAACCGGGGGGGGGGGGGGGAGGGGCAAAAATTTTTTTTAAATGAAGGTGAGCGGCGTTAGCCACGCACTCCGAAAATTTTTTTGGGGTGCTTCCCAGAATTTTGCGGGTCCATAACCCCAAAAATCCTGAAAAAGGGGGCGTGGCTGTCGAAAAAATTTTTTGCAAGGCTATTTCGAATTTTTGAAAGATTTTAAAAATTTTTTTTATTGTTTACAAGAATAAACAAGTCACTTGCACATGTTTATAACCCATGTAAGTAAATTCCAAAAATTTCGCGACCCATTCCCGGAGGGGGTGGGGCGCCCTCTCCGCCCCAGCCCCTTGGCCGCCACTGATATGCACCTACGTCCTCGTTGGGGAAGGGGGATTGTGGAGAGGCCTTATACATTGGTGTTCAAGATCTTGTATCTTGTTTTCTACCCATCTCTGGGAGGCATCACTACTCTGATTCTTTACATAATGATGACATCCTTTTGCCTTGTGGTAAAAAAATGAAATCTCACGATGGCGAAATCTCCACGAAGTTCGCTCGGAGTTTATCAAACTCAAAACTTCTTTCTGCTATTCTTCCATTTGAAACATGCTCAGCAATGCCATAATAATTAGAGCAACTTTATAAAAAGAATTGAAAAGAGTGGCGACTTAGGAGATCACAGATCATACAGGAAATAAAAAACCAACTCATATAACGAAGCACTGCTTTCCATTACGCTAGGATATTAAGATAGTACAACCTTCGAGAGTAGAAAATGAGGTATGCTTATCGGAACACCGAGATATAAGGCGTTCCCAAGACCCGGCACGGCACGTGTCGATTTCTATCTTTATTCAAAAGTAAATCTCCCCTTGAAGGCAGCGTAGACCCAAAATTTCGTCTTCCATGTTTTTATTGTCATCGAGCCTTTCCATGGTGCTGATTCGGGATATGAGGTTCAAATCACCTAAAAACTTCAAAATGCCTTTTTCTACAGTCCTAATTTGGCAGACATGGACGAGCGCCCCGCTGCTAGTCCTCTCGTATGTTACAGGAAATCCCGTCGTGTTAACAGTGCCACATCACAAGTCTCGACATTCCTTGTCATGTCGGAACACGTCTCGGGGGCAATTCGTGGGCGGGTGGAGAGCAAAAAAGGGACGGAGCGCAAAGAGAATGCTCTCTGTTATCTACTTTTGCAGGCAACATTAATGGACCTGACCAAAGCGGTTGATCTACGTTTAAGGCGTGCTAGTAGGATAAGTAGTAATCTGGGGTGAGCAGATTTTGGGTGAACGCTGCCTTTAAAGGCAGTGTCACGACAAA